GGGTGTTCGAGTGGCACTCGGAACAGTCCCGGCTATATTGCACACGAAGGGGAAACTGGGTTGAATGTGTATGTCAACTAGACACGACAGCTGCGAGCTCTAGTCTGCTTTCTGTGGAGGCCCAAGAACAGGGGGATGTGTCGTATTCAAGTGTCACTTTGCTGTGGGCTGTTTTTGACACGCATATGCTTTCGAGTAGAAGGGGTCAAGGGGGAAGGGCGGACAGCTTTCAGAGGAGGAGTACTATCGTATATAGGTTAGACAGGATTTTACCGGAGATGGGCGTGCAGAATTTCAAAATAGTTCAGTCGGAAATCACAAGAACCTTCATATGCTTACCGGTTTCTGTGTATCATGAGAAATTGTCTTCCATAAAACTGCCATGTGCTTCCTTCTGAGAGTTTCGCTTTTTCTTTTGTGTCATCTAATAAATAAACACGTAAATGAAGCGTAGAATAACCACTAACATAGTAAAGGTTCTGATTATGGTAACCTTTATTTCCGTCCTAGATTGTAAGTTGTTGTTTGAGAACTTACAGTTGATTGCCCAACGGCTGAAATTTCTGGAAGCTAGTAAGCCACGATTTCGTCACAATTGGGTCAATCGAATTATTTAAATCTGCCAACACCCCAACAATTAAGTGAACCTAGTAGTCCATTTGGCGGATCCTAGATGATTACTCAGGAACTCCTGCTTGGCAGTCAGCTTACTGCGTCCGTATTGGTGGATTGCATATGTGCGGTAAAGCTGGGCAAACGAATCTACCCAAGTGTGATTAAATTCACGGCGCACGGTGAGCCTCGTAGCTCAATGGTAGAGCGTTGGCTGCCCGAAAGCCTTCTCTGCTGTGCGAGTCCTACTCTTATAGAGGCCGAGAATTTTTCACAGTTGGGTCAATCAAATTATTGAATTCTGCTGAACCCCTAACAAGCACAATCCTGTTGCACAAAGTCAGCCCACGCCGCCACCATTCTCTTCTTAACCACCTTATAACTAGTAGCGATTTCGACGGCGTTCGCCTATCTTTTCTTTAGTGAAGCTGAATTTAACCGAACATGTTTTCCTCTTTTAGTCATTCCTTTGCCCAGAACCGCTCGAGGAACAGTCGTAGCAAATCAAATTACACAAACACCGACGAGAGTGCCATGTTGGCGGGCCTAGTACAGAAGTACCTATCGCCGACCCTGATCCAAAAGCTCACGCGTGCGGACCCCTCCACGACTCTGACATCTTGTAGTTTTGCAAATTCCGAAGCGGATATCGGCCTGCCAGACGTTAGTATGGCGACTCGTCGCTATCTGGAACATCACGACCTCCTTGGTGACCGAAGAGGGCAGCGAAACTACCGCGACGGTGGTGCTGACAGCGGTCGGTTACGGCTGGCTAGCACTCCCGCGTTCTCGGAAGTTGCCCCGGTTGCCGACTTCTCAAACAGCATCTCCACACTGGTCCCATCTGCGATAGACCCCCGCCAAGACCCTGCATCGAGGTTTGAGTGCGAAAGTAGTCTCGAGGCTTGGTCCGCACTGCGTCCATCCGAACTTTTCTCTGCCCAACCACCACCCTG